TTTTCTAATATATAAAAATAAATAAAAAAAATGAATTATTTAAACACAATATAAAATATTTATTTAAATTCAATTAATAAAATTTACATGACTTATAAAATGTTTCTCAATTTTTATTAAATATTGACTTTGAACTTTTTTCAAAAATTTTCTATAGTATTAGCATACATAGAATATCCGAGTTTTGATATTGTGTCGATTGCATCCCATGATATACCCGAAGCCATCAGATACAAGCCAACTTCTAATTTATATTGATTGACAAATTTGTTTTGTAGTCCTGCCAGTATATAGCATAGGCCAATGACAGACTTTTTTGCTTCATCTATATTATAGGCAAAATATTCCTTAGAAATAACTAAATTCGTCATATATTTAAAAAAGCTCTCAAGCTGAGGATTAGCATTTTCAATAATCTTTTCAAATTTTACGAGGTTTAACTCAAGACCTGCAGATTCTTGGTATTGCCAATGGTATAATACTCTTGTTAATACTTGAATGTTTGAAGCAAACGTCGTATCTAACATAAAATATTAAATTAACAATAAAATCTTTTTATAAAACAAAAAAAAAAAAAAAACTATTACGCTACCTAAACAATTATTATTTATCTTGGATTCGATTTTTTTGTTTCTTGAGTGTTTCTTTTTTTTTTATAGTTTTTTCTTTATTGATTATTATCAGCCTCTATGATTTACAATAATAAGGATAGCAAAATTGCCCTTCTATTTCAAGATATGGATACCTTTGCAACATTTGATTTTTGTGACATTTTTCAAAAGCTAGCTCAGTAATTATACAAAATTTAACACTAGTATTTGTACAATTAATAACAATTCAAGGCCCAAAATTTTGGGTTCTCATTTTATAATTAGCCGGAAATAAATTATGATATAAAATCTAATTAATTAAAAAAAAAATAATAATAACTGTTAATAATATCATCTAACTATTGTCTAAATAATCTCGTTATATTGATTATACTATATATCTTGAATGCTAGTTTGATTACGACGAAACTTGGTATGATGAAACTTAACACAGTAAAACTTGGTACGATAAAACTTGGTATAACAAAGCTTGGTGCAGTAAAACTTGATATAGCGAAAGCTAGCACTGTGAAAGCTAGTATAGCAAAACTTGATGTAGCAAAATTTTAATCATGACAGAACTTTATAGAGCGAAATTTGATACAAGAAAGCTTTAAAAATTTGATCATAACGGGATTATAGAGAAACTTTGTTTGTAAAACTTGAACTCATGAAACTTAACCATGTAAACTTT